GCAAGCCGTGGCTAAGCAAGCCGCGTATATTTTAGCGTGTGAACGCAACTAAACTCCTCGTGTGAACGCAGCAATAGCCTCGAAGTGGTGACGTGACGTCACATGTTTTTATCTTTGCTACACCCGTACCGCTGTACCGCAGCACCGCTGTACGGTTGCTTGGGGATTGGGGAAACTGTCAACAACATCGGAGAATTTGAACAACATTGGAGGTATTTTCAAATACCTTTCATAAGACAACGCGCAGTGAAATGGGAGGAACTAGAGTTTATTTTGTCATAAGGTAGTGTGATTATGCATGCCACGAAGTATTTGCTAGTCTAGTACTGGAGAAATTAGCATTTGGATGCGCATTGTGAGCCTTTAAATATTAAATGTTTACACTATTTGGCACAGTAGATGTGCTTTGAGACATGGAAACTTTCCATTAAACTAATTTCATATACTAAATTTACTCGTAACATTGAAGTATCTATACAACAACCTGTTGCATATATTTGTATGAACTAGGGGTGGGACGACAACAGTAGCTCACGACACAGCCTTTACAATATGATACATGATTCTACTTCTACTACTCTGTATTGGCCACCATCAACATGCTGATGATTTTGCCAACAAGAGGCGCATATCGCTATAGTTTCAAAAGAAACTACCCAGCAAACTAAACACTCATGCAGGTCTCCACCAATCATGTAGACACTTAGTAAACGACTGCTATGGAATTGCAAACTGTGTGGTTTCTTTTGTTTTAATGACACTATGCTACTAAATTACAAGAATTATATTTAGTAGAGTATCGATATGTGTATTGCAAATGGACAAACGTATTGATACACAAGCGATCAAGGTTCGTATCGCGATACATCGATATATCGGTGAATCATCCTACCACTTAGTTATGAACGTATGTATACTGATGTATACATAAGTACATAGACATCAGTATACATAAATAATGCAAGATTACTGATCATAGCTCTGAATGTGAACACAAACCTTGCTCTTTGCAGAAGACGTTGTATGGAGTTTGTCCTTTTGTATACGTAAGTTTGTTCTTCCTTGGCTGAGATGATAAAAGATGTGCTTTCTTGTTTGCTACACAGTTCTATAAAAAAAATTAGCAGATGAAGTATAACATGCTTTAACATATTTCTTAATTTAAGAAAATTTTACTGCATGTAAATAAAACGTCACAAGTAGGGAAATTACAAGTAATTAAACATCTCGAACTGCACTGACTATACCTTATACATTAAATATTAAATTATTTTGCTTTTAATATCACTCAGAATTTACGAGGAACATTAAAAGATAGCTAACTGTTTATATACATTAATAGTTTCTTGTTAATTCAAACATGAACATCACAATTATTGCTATCCTTCACACATAATATACCCTCCCTATTTCTAAGGCTTTAGCTAGCTAGTGAGGGGGCAAAAGGAAGCATTTGTCTCCACCCAAGAGAAATGAAGATACATTACATGGTCAATGGCACTCACCTTCCCGTAACACACCACCAAAATTTGCCCCCCTCCCCCCCATACAGGCAAAATTTATTAGCTATGCTCCTGATTTCTACATGCTAGTTTGCACCATTCTTATTTACATATATATTCCAAGTATCTGATAATAGCAACAAACCTTTACTTGTGTGACTGGCATATCTGCTGGTGCGGTGACAGCATCTGTCTGTGCACATGTTTCAACTCTAGAAGTCTTTATTCTATCCTCCCAGCTCATATCAGGAATTTCATTCTGGATACAATTGGTTTTATTCTCAACGGGGGTAGTTCTTAACCTAGAGATGGATTTCGGTTCAGCTGCCTTTTCTTTGTAGTAGTTTCTCTGTTCATTTGAGAGTTCATGCCATAGCTTCGCCCACTCTTGGAAATCTCCTTTTGTCCCTGAAATTATTAGTGATTGCCTTATTGTTAGATGATGAATTATCAGAGCAAATAAGGATATTAATCAGACTTTTCCATGCAAATATGAATACACAGCTACAATTGGTGCATTTGGTACACATTGTCGTTACAGTTTGAACATATATTGATATTATATGTGAAGAACTAATATCATTAATCTGTGAATATGCATCACATACCTTGCTCTTTACAAAAGATGTTATAACCTGATTGTCCTTTCGTATAAGAAATTTTTCGTTTTCTTGGTCGTGGAGGTTGAAGACTCCTTTTTTTGTTCCCTATCCAGCTCTAAACAAAAACAAATGCTTTTGACAAATCTGTACATATGTTCGTAAAGCTTTGAAAATTTCACAAATCTATATTCACGTCATCAAACTATGTGATCAAGGTGATGAAATAGTGTATAGTCTACTAGCACGGTTTGGTCTGCGATCAAGATGAATAACCTTTGAATGTACATCTACCGTTACAAATGGAAATTACTTGTTTGCCCCATGCTTGCTCATATAAAAACCTATATATTATACATATATAGTACACAATCTATTATCTGAAACCCTTGAGACCAGACACGTTTCGGAATTCGGAATTTTCCAGATTTCTGAATGGTAGTACAGTACAGATATACATACTGTACCTGCAACTAGCCAGTATTAAAACCCAAGTTTTCAAGAGGCCAAGTGCTATACCGACAGTACCGGTATAGTACAATATGTATGAGTAATGCCAAACACAATAATATTTCTGCAGTGAACATTATGCAGCCAAACGCAAGCTTTGGTGTGCAGACGACCTCCACAGAAAAACATTCGGTTTTCGGAGCTTTTCGGTTTTTAGAATTTTGGATAATAGATTGTGTACTGTATTAGACTCATGAATAAATCTACACAATCAAGAGTACACGGCATCAAAGTGATATCATCAACACCAACATGGTAGCAATTTGAAATCATGCACTCCTGATACAATTTATAGATAGTCATAGTATAACAAACATAGCAAACCTTGACTTGTGCGATAGACATTTCTGCTGCTGTTGCTACCCTCTCAATCTGTTCATGTGACTCAACACCTGTGCTTCTCATTCCAGCCTCCCAGGCAGCTTCGAGAATTTCTTTTTGTCTACTACTTGTTTGATTCTTGCTAGGCCTCTTTCTTGCAATTGATTTTGGTTCAGCTGCTTTCTCTCGATAGTAGTTTCTCTGTTCGTTTGTGAGCTCATGCCATAACTTTGCCCATTCTTGAAAACTGCCTCTTTTGCCTGAAAAAAACAAGTGTAAGTGATCACTTTAACAAAATAATTGTGGTAAGAAATCAATTAAGAATTTATAAAGTTCATGGACACAGTTGTGTGCTGTGTTATGTAAACCCGCATCCATATGCTGGGTGGCAGTGGTTTGGCAGACCTCAATATTTTAAATACTTCAGAATTTATTAACTCTCCTTAACATCTAATTAGAACATTTACCAAAGTATTTCACTTTAGTGTCTTATGTAACTAATTTGGGCTAAATTCCAAGACTCCTCTATTCATATCCTAAAATTAACCCTTTCACCCAGCTAGATCTGGTAAGCATCTGCATAAACTGGGCACACTGATAGCTGCTCAACTTATGTCCCCCTCTTTCTACATTCTCAATTACCTTGCTCTCTACAAAAGACGTTGTATCCTGATTGACCTTTTGTATAAGTAACTTTTCTTTTTCGTGGTTGTGGAGGACGAAGGCTCCTATTCTTGTTTCCTATCCAGCTCTAAACAAAAAAAGAGACAAGATTCTCTTAAATTTATCCAGTTACTGCCAGGAATCAACAGAGATTTATACACCCCTAAAAAGTGTTACTATAAATACATCCATACTCATATAGATATGCTCATGTATATTAAAATTAAATTATAGTGTGGGACAATGTAAATAACCATATGATAATGTATGTGTACGCATATGTGAAGAACATGTGACCCACTCAAATCGAAATAATCAGATTTGTACATTGCCCTAAATTTTATAACTATCAAAAGCTGTAACCTGTATTAAAAGAATATTGTTTGATATGGAACCCAGCTGATGCATACGAAAGCACTGGCGTGGATCAACATGTAAGTGGAAAGGTTAGAGATGTAGTGCTGCTACATACAAGAATAAAGACATACAAGGATCCATTGCATAACATGAACTTGGCCCAGCTAAATATGCTATTCAGGAATGACTTTGTGTTAGATAATAACCATACAGTCTATAACAATTATACAATACTAGTACGTTTACTGCCACAAATCGGGATAAATGTCTTGCTGCTGCACGCAGCTAGTCATAATTCAGAGTCCATACCATATACCATAAACGGTATGAGAATTATTAAAATAATCATTACAATTAACATTATATTGAACAGCAAACCTTGACTTGGGCAGTCGCCATTTCTGCTGCTATTGCTACCCTTTCAATCTGTTCACGTGACTCAACTCCTCTTGTACTCGTCAATCCAGCCTCCCAGGCAGTCTCGAGAAATTCTTTTTGCCTACTGCTTGTTCGATTCTTGTTAGGTCTAGGCCATTTACTCAGGGTGGAACTTTAAAAAAATGTACACGAAAAATTAAACAGGCTATTACAATCTCACTGCTTCCTAAATCTCATTCTTCATCATAAAACTGGATGCTATATCTCAGAGGGCATTTTGGTACTGCACAGTTCTCGGTACAATTTCTATGTATAGTTCTGTGGCAGAGAGAAGCCAGAGCTACATTTGTAGTATATATTATAGGGTCAGGATGTGGATATCTAAGCACTTGAACCACTCGCTGTATCGACATCATCCAACTTGCTGTATCGACATCAGCCAACTTGCTGTATTGCTAGGCATAGGTCTTTTTCACTAGTTAGGCATAATTTGCTCTGGCAATTATTAATACTTGCCGCTCTAGATATTGCCACCACACGTTCATGTATAATGTAGTACTTTTAAACATTTGACCAGCTGATCTGTTGCATACACTACAGCGACCTCAAACAGGGTATGTATAATTGTATATAATTATTTATTTGCTTCCATGGTGACCATATCATAGATTCTGATTGCTATGCCTACTGCTATAATATATGTCACACATGACATAATCATAAACATAATGCTTACTCAATTCAATTGAATTCCATTTACCGGTACTTTATTTACTTATGACAATTAGTGAATTACACTTAGATGTACCATTACTGCATGAGTATTAGTAAAATACATTAATTGACAAATCTGATGTTTATAGAAATGAAAGTTTAAGTGTTTAGTAATAGTAGTGAGTAGATCTTTATAAACGTAAATATACGTACGTTTATACAACTATACAAGTAAATATGAAACGAATATCATAATAGTTAATACATATTAGACTACTAGGAGCCGTAGTACGGTAGGCCTAGTAGTAGGGCACGAAGGGTCGTTGTCGTATAGGGTACTATATATATCATTATATATATATGTACCCAAGGTAACTATCTGATATGGTTAGGGTTAGGGTTAGGGTTAGGGTTCGGGTTAGGGTACCCTATACAACAACGACCCCTTCAGCAGTAGTACTAGTAAGGCTCATAGCCATGACATAGGGTCTGTGTCCCCCAGGGTACTGCCGGAACGTAACCTGGGTACGGTCCGGTATACCGGAGCGTACCCTGGTAACTATTTGATATGGTTAGGGTTAAGGTTAGGGAGTAGGCGTAGGCGACTCCCTAGACTCGTTAGTGGAGTAGGCAAAGTACGGTCCGGCATATTAGATGGTACCAGGGTACGTTCCGGCATAGCTCTATAGTACTATAGCTCGCGTACAATTGCCGCAGGTGGCTACCGGCCTGCGGCAACTGTACGCGGGCTATAGTACTACTAGTACTACAGGCCTACTAGAGCTAGTTCCGGCAGTAGGCCTAACCTGGAGGACATAGTCATAGACCCTCTCAGCACTACTCCACTAGTAGTAGTAGTACTACTACTAGTAGGGCTCATAGGGTCTATGTCCCCCAGGGTACTGCCGGTACGTACCCTGGTCACTATTTGATATGGTTAGGGTTAGGATTAGGGTTAGGGTTAGGGAGTAGGCGTAGGCGACTCCCTAGATTGGTTAGTGGAGTAGGCGAGGTACGGTTCAGCATATTAGATAGTACCAGGGTACGTTCCGGTATACCCCACCGTACCCAGGGTACGTTCCGGCACTACCCCGGGGGACATAGACCCTCTCAGCAATAGTAGGCGTAACGTCATGACTATGAGTATGACTATGAGTATGAGCAACTAACAATAACATGATCTCAGACTCAAGTCAAGCAAATACCAGACAATTCGTTATTAAACTTTGATATCTAACTCTACTCTTTGAAAAATAATTACTACTAGTAGTAATAGTACTACTCACACGATATCGACAGACATATTTTAACTTTCTGAAGACCCTTGGCCTTGCGGAGTGGCTGACTCGAAGAATCTATAGACTATAGTCTATAGACTAATGTCGTGACTATACTACATACTACTAGTACTAGTACTAGTAGTACTAGTAGTACTACTACTAGTACTAGTACCCTCCCTCGCTGTATTTATTTCAAAATCGTGACATTTATGTAATACATGTAAATTTTGATAGCGTAAATAAATTTAAAAATCTAAAAAAATCTAAATCTAAAAATCTAAACGTCTATGGCTCACAAGAAGAGGATCGATGGAATTTCTATTCGTAGTTCTAGATTCAACCACAACGTGGCGCGGGCTGCAGTACTCGCAGAGACAATAGAACACTAATATTAATGTTCTATTAGTGTTTTATTGTCTCTGGTACTTGCATGTTTATTTATTTTGCCAAGTATTTGTGAGATATTTGAGCAATAAAACTATTTTGAATTTGAATTTAAATTTTTGAATTTTGGATGGCTATGTATCAGTCTAAGCTAAATCATAGTAAATGTAGTTTGCTAAGCAGTGGTGCCACCATGCGGTAGAATTCATAACTAATTGCATGACTAGGATCTACGTTGTCACGTTGCATCATTGCATGTTGATGTTTTACAAGTTTTTAGCTGGATCGGTTTGATTTCGATGTCGATGACACTTTATACGATATGATTTTAGTGTATTTATCGTCGAATTTATTCATTATTGCCAGGGCAATGAGTGAGAGAACAGCGACATAAACTATGCGACAAAAACTGTCAGTTACATTGATATTTCTGGCTGGAGTGTGTTTCGCAACGTTCGTATCTCTTCTTCCCTATTTATTGGACAGCAACCGGATCAGAAAGTCGCAATATGTTAGTGGAAATCCCTTGCTTTCTACTACTGCAAATGTCGTCGCCAGACTTGGGATATTTCAATGGAGGCCCGTGTATGATAACTGGGATAACTTCTTTCCCAGCGATTCTCCAGGAATTCATGAAACTGCATTGATCAGGAACACTGGTCATTTTGTACCGAAATTGAACTCGGCAAATGCTGGTGAAGTATTACGTAACATGGCTCAGGGATAGAGAAGATGTCCAGTCCTATCTTATCAACTAACATCATCCTATCCAATCACCGTACTGGACATCATCTCTATCCTTTTTCAGGGATAGATAAGATGTCCAGTCCTATCTTATCAACTAACATCATCCTATCCAATCACCGTACTGGACATCATCTCTATCCTTGAACCCGTAACATTGCATAGAGAAATAGTTTTAACTAGTTGAGGCTATAAAAGTGTACAAGTTACAACATAGGCCTAGTGTCCTAGCTTAGCTATATCTGCATATTCCAGCATTTTGTCATAACTTTTAAATAACGGAGTGGCTGGAGGTACGGCAGCCGTATCTCCAATTTACGAGGCTGCAGGTACGGCAGTCAATTTGCGCATGCGTCACTTTCCCACAAAATAATGCCATTGGAAATTAATTCACGATTTAAGAGTGTTGATAAGCTAGAAAACACGGTTCAAGGATAGAGATGCATGTCGAGGATGGTGATACTGATAGGATAGGATGATGTTTATTACTGGACATGCTCTCTATTCTTGAGCCGAAAACACTCGGATTAAGTATGAAAATGAACATTATTGTGCCAGCTATAGCCTACACCAGTTGGTTAGGATTGATTGTCAGTTCAGATCTAAAAGATTGAAAGCAAAAGGCTATGCCACGCGTACATATAAGATAGCCGAGCCAGTTTAGATTTAGTGCTAGGGTTAGATTTAGGGTTAATATCTATCCTAGACAGTTTTTGCAGTCACGTGGAGGCGACGCATGCGCAAATGGACTGCTATACCCGCAGCCTCGTAAATTGGAGATACGGCCGTCGTACCTCCAGCCACAGCCTTTAAATTAACTGAAATATACTATTGTCATGTAATCATCCATTTTTAGTACCGAGTATCATCGGTTACTAGTGAGAGCCCAATTTCTTTGAATGATTTGGTGATGTGCTTATTTTGGTAATTATCCAGGGAATTATGACAAACAATGTAATTATAAATAAAAATACAGCTAAGTAACTACTAAGTATAAATACATCAACCTAACATGATTATGACCAATTTTATAGACTGTGACTCATTGTTGTTGCTTTTGCAGACCTGAAGGCAGAAGCAGTTGCATCGTTTAATCTCGCACTCGAAATGAAGGAGAGCGGGAAGATTGCCAAGGCGAAGAAGCTTTTCAATCATGCACTAAACCTCGATCCCCTACATGCTGACATTCTGTACGAATACGGCTGGTTCCTAGAGGAACATCAGAATGATGTATTGCTGGCAGAGCACATGTACAATCGTGCGTTGACGGTCAGTCCTGACCACCAGCTCGCACGGCAAAAGAGGAAAAACGTTCTGCCGCTAGTCGAAGAACTCGATCAGAAGTCCTTCGGTCGAATCGATCGAAAGCGTGACCTGCTCATGAAGATACCCGACTCGAACCTCGCGTTTCGGCGCGCGAAGAAGGAAGCCTACTTCCAGCACATCTACCACACGACGGCGCTCGAGGGCAACACGATGAACCTCATGCAGACGCGCTACATCGTCGAGACGCGCATGGCCATCGCCGGCAAGAGCATCCTCGAGCACAACGAGATCCTCGGCATGGACGCCGCGCTCAGCTTCATCAACAACACGCTGCTCAACCGCATTGGCCGCATCTCGATGGCCGACATCCTCGACATTCACGTGCGCGTGCTCGGGGCCGTCGAGCCGACGGAGGCCGGCAAGCTGCGAGCGACGCAGGTTTACGTCGGCGGGTTTGCGCCGCCGGAGCCCATCCAGCTCGTGCCGCTCATGAGCGAGTTCCTCGAGTGGCTGAACTCGGCGGAGGCGATGAGCTTGCACCCGATCGAGTTTGCGGCGCGCGCGCACTACCGGCTCGTCTACATCCACCCGTTCGTCGACGGCAATGGACGCACGTCGCGCCTGCTCATGAATCTCGTGCTGATGCAGGCGGGCTACCCGCCGGTGGTCGTGCGCGTCGAGGACAGACTCGAGTACTACGAGACGCTGGAGAAGGCGAACCACGGCGACTTGCGGCCGTTTGTGCGCTTCATCGCGCGTTGCACGGAGCAGACGGTCGACACCTTCCTCCGTGCCATCACTGAACACAACGTCTCTGCGCTCGAAATAGCCAGCGTGGACGACGGCCGAACTATAATCATGGAAGGCGGGGAGGTTGACCGAGAGGATTAGCCAGTTCGCTACATTAGCTTATTAGTTAATTCGATTGATCTTCAAAATTGGATACGCTAATATATTTTTTTATTATGAAGAGCTGTTGCATAGTCTGTACGGTTGGTAGTCCTACATTTACAAGAGTTTACTTTGTTGAGAAAACACAATCATACGTGTGCAGAGTTATTAATTTCTCTCTATACGCTGTTATGTCGTTGCGGTAATCAGGTAAATTGTACTGGGTCCTTGATCACCAGCTTCTATCACTGTGTGGGGAAATTAGGTACAAACAGACTGCAGGCCCAGTACATTGTCCTGATGCATAGCTGTTGCATACTCTGTGTGGTACAAGCATTTACAAGCGTTTACTTTACTCAGAAAACGTTAGCCCCGAATTATTAGTTACTCTCTGTACTTCATAAATTCAACTGGCCTTCACGTGTAGGCTTGTAATATTTGCTGTTACTGTGTAACAGTGTATAGTTGGTTGTTATTTTCTAGTTGTATACAACTCTTGAAGTTGTGGCACTGTTGTATGCCACAGCGGCAACAATCTAGTCTTCATAATAGTTACAGTGACTGATACAAAATACACCAATCGCAAATTCTTAGGGAGTGAAGGGGCAGTTGTAGCTAATTGTTGTCAAATTTATGCATCTATATTTACCTCCGCCAGGGGCTTGGCGGAGGTTATGTTTTCACCGGCGTGTGTTTGAGTGTTGGTTTGTGGGTTTGTTAACATGCGCGTTTCAGTTCACTTCCGCTAGGTGCGCTGGCTGTAGACTTACAAACATGCAACCACAGGCTAAGGGGAAACCACAGTCCTCCCCCACTTGCACGCTTGCACTAATCCGGATCCAATTAATTATTTAATTAATTAATTAATTTTTCCACTTAATAAATTAATTAATTAATAAAAAATTTCACATTGAGAGAATTCAGCTGCCTTGGCGGAGGTCTGTGCTCTCCGAGTGCTCTAGTTTATAATTGAAACCGTGTGAAAATGTTGCGATCAGTCATCTTGCTGTCATGCTCATGCTCTCTCACTGTCACACGGTGCAATACACAGTAATTTAGATTTTATGAAAAAAATTAAATACTGGGAAAAAATTTTAGGTTGAATTTTTGCCTGCTGCTGGTTGCTAATTCCATAGAGGTTTTACCCCCAAAGCTGGACTTTTCCTTCTAATTTCTGCGTGTCTGATGCTATTGAAATAATCATATATTTATGCAAAATTTGAAAATGTGATATGTCTTAAATTAATTTTGAACTGTGTATGACGTTAACTGATTCTGAAGTTTATAGTATATACATGTATAATAAATTATTTGTAATGATAGTAGTTACTGTAATAAATTATTGCAATGAGTGCCCTCAGTTGCTATACACCTAAAAAATATGCGTATTGCAAATATTATTACTCTGTGATCACATACTTATTTGTGAAGCGTGGAGTTTGGGTTTGGCTCAGATGTTTTACTGAGATTCAGATTTGTGGCATTCAGATGTTCATAATAGAGTAGTATCTGTCAATTTATCTAACAACATATCCATTCAGTTTCTTAAGCAAGAATGAAGATTACAAACATGTTGAAGAAAGAAGATATTGACTTTATCTAATGATGCGTATAACCTTTGCTACCATTTTCAAGTTTGTGCAACCCCTGCTTACCTTTTCCAAACTAGGAATTTCCTGAAAGGGTATCCTATATCCTTCATCATCATTATATGAACAATGAGTGACAGTGAGATGCTGGGAAGGGGTTCATTATATGGACAATGAGAGATAGTGAGATGCTGGGGAGGGATTCATCATCATTATATGAACAATGAGAGATAGTGAGATGCTGGGGAGGGTTCATCATCATTATATGAACAATGAGAGATAGTGAGATGCTGGGGAGGGATTCATCATCATTATATGGACAACGAGAGATAATGAGATGCTGGGAAGGGTTCATCATCATTATATGGACAACGAGAGATAGTGAGATGCTGGGAAGGGCTTCATCATCATTATATGGACAATGAGAGATGGTGAGATGCTAGGGAGGGCTTCATCATAATATGGACAATGAGAGATAGTGAGATGCTGGGAAGGGTTCATCATCGTACCAGCTGTTGTAAAGGTTGTGGGCACCGCAATACTGGCCAGCGCTGCCTGCCTTATTTCATAGCTAAGTATGCGTGTGTAGGCTATCAAAAAGGTGTTCACTGCTATACTTTAATACAGGCCAGCGCGACCTGCCTTATTTCATAGATAAGTCTGCGTGCGTGAACTATCAAAAAAGTTGCCCACCGCTATACCCTAATACTGGCAAGCATTGCCTGCCTTATTTCATAGTAACATAGACTTAACATAGTATTGCTGTAGGCGTTTTAGTCGTTGTTTAGTATGCTATAGGCGGCGGGCAGGCGGCGCACTGCTTTCCAACTCCCGTACGAGCCTCGCCATTGGAACGTTGCAAAAACGTTGCAGCGTTGGGGCGCGAAGAGCGCCGGTAGGTGTTTCCTGATTGTGACAGCCGTTTCCATTACTGGGCAAGGTTCGCGAATGTCATAATTTCGACAGTCTTTCTGTGATTTCGCGTGACACAGCTCGGTTACGAACAGATTACTCGGTTACAGTTTTTATAACAAGTGAACACTGTTCACGTCCCAAATGTCTACCCTCTGTGTCCCCCACTAAAATTGCGGACTGTTCGCTGGCAGCTATGGATCCGTGCGCCCGCCAATTCATTCGGCGCACAGATCCATAGCTGCCAGCGCTGCATACTGTCGTAGGACGTTCCCGCGGTCGCGTGCGCCTTGCCGCGGAACTGCGCGAAAGATCTGCGCTTCAGCGCTTCGGATCAACATCTCCTTTCGGCAACGCTTCTCTAGTATCCCGTCTCATCTGGATCGCAACGGGTCCATGCTGCTCGCGCAGTCTTATCTTTCCCTTTACCCTTCATATTTTCACTTCATTTCATTGTATTTTTTATGTTCAGATTGCACAGGAGAGCACTATTTTGGTGGTAACCTTCACAATTTTGTTTATCACTATCAGTCTGTGCATAATAGCCTATAAATCTTTCATACAAACAAAAGCGGTTCGCATGAATTATTTGCTTCAATTTATGAACAGATAATAATGGCGAATTAAAAAAAAATTAATATTCAAATGTGAAACATTTGACATAGAAAAACACAAATTGTGAAAACTTCATATTGAAATGGTTTCGGCATGCTAGGAAATAAAAAGCCATATTTTGATGTTGAATTTCAATTATATCTCCGAAGAAAGTCAAGAAACCTCCAGGACGCATTGCTGCCACCGCGTGCTTTCATGTGGGACAAATTGCGTTGCGGCCAGGAACTAGAAATTAGAGACGGAATGATAAAACATTAACATCACATAAATTACCTATTTCCTCCCAAATCAATTTTAACGCGCGTGTATATAGTTTGCAGTGGCCGATAAATTATAATCTGTCAAGCGCGCGTTCAATTTACACACGATTCTGACACGAAGGCAACTCACTCATGCGAAAACAATGAATGAACGCCAACTGTTGCCCATCCTGCCCATGCGGGACGTATATATATATATAGAATACCAGTTTATAGTACCATTATTACTCGAGAAGTGCGACTTGCCTTCACGCGTAACTGATCGCACACCAGCCATGGAAGAATGCTCAATAGACCAGCCACGGAAACCAGTCTCGGGACACCGTGCGGGCGTCACCTGTGTCCGAGAAAATCCGCAATTCTCCCCGTGTCGTCAACAGAGGGTACTGAACCTCTGAAGTGTTGCCGCAAGCATGTTGTGACGTGTACGAGCGTATAAGTATATGGTGGACGATGGAACAGTGTGTGTTGATCTCGTATACGTGACCTAGCTACGATCGAGTTACGTACAAATAGAGCGCCGAGGTGCTAGTATAATTATGCTAGTATATGCTCTGTAAATTCGCGAGTGATGCACCAACGCGACGTTTTAGTTTATCGTACGAGATATCGCTCCAAGCCTTTCACATTCTAGAAATCTTCGCTGGGCTTATTCATTCAGATGTTAGCGACACCTGCTGCGAAGATCACCGGCGCTTATCTAACCGATACAGGATCTGCGAGTGTGCAAGACTGTGTTTTGATGATACACCGCAGACGTTACCGCGTGGGAGGGTTGTTGTTATTGATGTTCGTGGTTGCTATACCTACCCTCCAGTTCATTATCGGTCTCGGCGAATTAGAAATAGGTATGTAAAAATAGTCACGGTATATTTCAGGTGGTAGTGGTAAGTAGGTAGGACGGTAGGTAGGTAGGTATAAGTAGGTAGGTAGGTACAGGTAGCTAGGTATAGGTAGGTAGGTAGGTAAGATGGTATAGGTATATAGGTAGGTAGGTAAGTAGGTAGATAGGTAGGTAGGTATCGGTATAGGTATATATAGGTAGGTAGGTAGGTATAGGTAAGTAGGTAGGTAGGTAGGTATAGGTAGGTATAGGTAGGTAGGTAGTAGGTAGGTAGGTAGGTAGGTAGGTAGGTAGGTAGGTAGGTAGGTATAGGTAAGTAGGTAGGTATAGGTAGGTATAGGTAGTTAGGTAGGTAGATTCAGGTAGGCGCAGAAGTCTGTTTGTATTGTCTGAAAATATTCATAGTTGGCTCTAATTGTGAAGAGAGGTGACTGTAGGAAAAACTATTAGGCAAAGAAAAACACATCACGTAGGATATTCAACACAAAACGTTCATTTATGAATATTATGTTCCTAGACGACCTGCGTTGCCAAGTACGCCTAGCACCACCCAAAACATTCCCGCCAGTCGCATTGGCAAGTTTCCCTGGCTCCGGAAACACGTGGACACGTCATCTGATAGAGCTTCTAACCGGATATTTCACCGGAAGCATATATAACGATGCGCCCTCCTATTTTAAAGGTATTTATGATATTAAGTTAATAAGAGTATACGAGATTAATTATATTAATGCAACAGGTAAAGTGGTGAAGTAGATGCAAATAATCGCACGTCGTATATATTGTATATAAGGTGAGATCGTGAGTGCATGTAAATTGTCAAGTAATTTCGGAGATATATTCGCAAGAAAAATTCATTTCGCAAAACATTCAAGTAATCCCATAACAAATTTGCATAACCAATTTCATTTGGTTTTAACCGTAACAAGATAAATATCGACAAAGTTCGAACGTAGAAGTATAACGTGACTTCGGTACGAGGCCACCAAAGACATATTTAATAAAAGGTTTTCTCTGCGTATAGGCTTCATTGGGGAGATGGAAAATTCGACTGCTGGAACAACGGTAGTAGAAAAGACTCACGGGTATGGCGTGAACACAGTACATATGTACCAGAAAGTCATCCTGCTTGTTAGAAACCCATACGATGCTGCCGTGTCCGCTTACAACCGAAAGCTGATGCTAGACGCGACCCGGAGCGCACCGGAAAAGGCATTCAGTGAAAAAGGTAACGATCGAGTTGCAAAGCGCTACTATGCAAGCTAATCTATTGTCAGGCAGGCGTTGACCAGGCGCGACACTCTCATCCAAACATCAGGTATATATGTTACTCTAGCTCTACTAGTGTAGCCCCTTCGCCCCGCTACACGGGGGATGTAACTCTCCCAGTATAGCCCCTTCGCTCCCCGCTACTAGCTCCCATGTAATGGTAGTGAAGGGTCCACACCTGTAAAGCTAAGGGGGAGCTATATGTAGTGGGAGTGAAGGGTCTACACCTGTAAATCTATCTGTAGTGGGAGTGAAGGGGCCACACCTGTAAATCTATCTGTAGTGGGAGTGAAGGGCCACACCTGTAAATCTATATGTAGTGGGGTTGAAGGGCCACACCTGTAAATCTATCTGTAGTGGGAGTGAAGGGCCACACCTGTAAATCTATCTGTAGTGGGAGTGAAGGGGCACACCGGTAAAACCGAGGGGGAAGCTATCTGTGGTAGGAGTGAACGGCCACACCGGTAAAGCTACGGGGAAGCTATATATAGGCCTAGTGGAAGTGAAGGGGTTACACCAGTAAAGCTAAGGTGGAAGTTATCTGTGGCAGGAGTAAAGGGGTTACACATGTAAAGCTAAGGGGAAACTATCTGTAGTGGGTGTGAAGGGGCTACACATGTAAAGCTAAAGGAGAAACTATCTGTAGTGGGAGTGAAGGGGCCGCATATGTAAAGCTAAGGGGAAGCAATCTGTAGTGGGAGTGAAAAGACTACACCGGTAAAGCTACGGGGAAGCTATCTGTAGCGGGAGTGAAGGGGTGCCACTGGTATAGCTTATGTTATCCATTCTCAGGTTGGCGACGAGCATCGAGGAGGTTGGTGCTCAAGTGGCGAACGCTAAACCTCAGCTGGCTATCGCACGCGAAACAACTTCTCGTCGTCTACTACGAAGACATGCTTGTCGACACGAGCGCGCAGCTACGACGCATCGTCGACTTTCTCGGCGTCGACGTCGCGCCGAACGGACTGCGATGCGTCGCCGAGTTTCGCGAGGGACGTTTTCGGCGCAAGAAGAGCAAGAATCTCCGCGAGGTGGCGTTCGCGTCGCTGGCCGATAGCGACGTGCTTGACGTCGCTAGGGAGGCGATGGGTGGCGTAGCGTTTGCAATGAGGGAGCACGGACATAGAGCCGTGCCAGCTTTATGGGCGGTAATCAGAGAAGAGACCGAACATGCTGTTTATGGCAACGAAACCACTGTCTAGTATTCATAGGGGGGTTTGGTGCTTGACGCAACACTGTTCAATTGTTCACTGAGTTGTTGGCGGGCGGCTTACTTACTGGCCCATGTCCAAGGTATGCTCTATTTGCCATAAACATTACACGCTAAAATAAATCGGTTCAAAACCTAGCTGTTGTCGTATGGAGGGTGGGTGGGAACGTGCCTACTCTCATGTCGGTGAACGTTACGAGTAGGCCCCTAATTATATTTGACAAGAATAATGCTTTCCTGACAGGACATGCTAGTTCCCAACAAAACGTATCTAACAAAACGTATCAAAGAAAGCGTTATGCTATTGATGGCAGTAGTAGGCCTACAGTGTAAACACAGTGTACGTTATAGGTTCTTTGGAAGTACTGCTTATCAATGAGTTCGCAAACTCCCGCGGTCACGCAGAGCCAACACAAACAATTGCAACGCGTGAAAGAATTTGTGTCTGACTTTTCAGCAAAAATTAAACATTTAACTTGAAAATAAAAATTTATATACTTGATTTTACTATATGTATTTATAATATGTATATGTACTTACTGTATTGTCTTATATATATATATATATAAGTGGCCGTATATACTTGCTAAAGGAAATTGTATTTTCTTGCGATTATACGTTTAAAGTTTCACCTTCAGAATTTTTGAAAAATTAGGTAACCGATTATAAGCAAAATGCAAATTAAAAGCGTCACAAAATTCACCGCATACATGCTTAAAATAATTTCACATGTCGAATATAGAGATTCGAAGACCGCGTATATAGGTTTCCTGCTTAAATTCTTTAAGAAACTCTAATCTTAAGCTAAGTCTAAGCTAATTAGACTGTTATAGAGAAACAAGAGAGAGAGAGAGAGAGAGAGAGAGAGAGAGAGAGAGAGAAGAGAGAGAGAGAAAGAAAGAAAGAAAGAAAGAAAGAAAGAGACAGTGAGAGAGAGAGAGAGAGAGAGAGAGAGAGAGCGAGTGCAGAGAGAGGGAGTCAGTTTATATTAAAAATATCTTTTAGCAACTAGAATTACCTACTAATGGGGAAATTTCAGTTTATTGCCAATTAAACAACCATAACACAGAGGCAAAAACATATAACCCAAGAATTTGTAAAGCTGGTACGGCAATCACAAAAGCTTCCAGAAAAAAGGGATCCGAAGATGTAAGCTAATGCGCATGTGGCACCAGCGTGGAGAAAGCGTCTTCCTACACACGGTAGCGGCACAAAAGAAGTAAATTAATGCCGAGTTACACGCCACCTATCTAGACGCAGCCTTGACAAGTGACCTTGGCACTTTAGCAAGGTAGTCTGTAGCGTCTTTAACCTGGGAGTTTGCTGCTAGCGTTGCCGTGATGGAAAATGCTTGTTGAATTAGTTCGCCAAGAGAAGAAACCTTTCAAACGCCGAAGTTGTGGCCGTCGTGGCCATAATGTGAAACCGATCACAATCTGTGGCTGTAATGGATTTACAACGCGCAATGCACTCGAGAATGTTTGTCCAGAGGGCTATCACATCTCTAGCTATATCCCATCCGGGGCTGTCATAGAAAAACAGCATTATAGGAATCGTACCCAGGCTTACAGTGAAGAATTCACTGGCCATTTTGAACATCATATTAGAGACTGGTCTGAACTGGTATAAAGCAGAGTGCTCATCATTGGCTCCATGTTGCTTTGCGCTGTCAATCCAGTTACTTTTTTCCTCTACATACGGCCAACGGGAACATTCGATATCGAGTTCTCGTGAAACAGACTCGAGAAGAGACTCGTCTGGTGAGACCGAGCTAGCCGGCCCGGACAATAAAGGCGTGTCAGGGTTGACAGCGATTGACGGCATAGCCAGGAATTCAACGGTTAAACGTCGTGCCCTGAACCACCAGAAAGTTCTGGCCATGAACACCCAGAAAGAAAGCACTACAAATACGGAAGCCATCGAAAACATGGAAAGCAGAGAGAAAAATTGCCCGTCGCACAGCGATCGTGGCTGGGCGTGGATGGTGTTGGTGGGTGCCTGCGTAAACTCGTTCATACTGGCCAGTGTGGGATCGAGCTTCTCTGTACTCTTCACGGAAATTGTCAGCATTTTAGAAGCTAAGAAAAGCATGATTGTGCTCATAGCATCGCTACAATTTGGAGTCTCATTGGTATTAGGTGAGCTACACGTACGTCACTACGCGCGCGCGCGTGCGTGCGTGCGTGTGTGTGTGTGTGTGTGTGTGTGTGTGTGTGTGTGTGTGTGTGTTTGTGAGTGTGTGCGGCGGGCGGGCGGTCTGGCGGTTAGCCGGATAGGGGGTTAGCCGGATAGGGACGGACAGACTGGTGGATGAATGTAGCGTTGTATGAATGGATGTATGGATGTATGTACGTTTGTATGAATGGATGTATGGATGGATGGATGGATGGATGGATGGATGGATGGATGGATGGATGGATGGATGGATGGATGGATGGATGGATGGATGGATGGATGGATGGATGGATGGATGGATTACATATACGATCCTAAGGTTGTTATGCGATTAGGTCCAGTGTTCAGTCGCTTGGCTGCCGAATATGGCTATCGGCTGGTGGTGATGACAGGAGGGATGCTGGCTACGGGTGGAATGTGTCTCAGCTACGGAGCAGCAGAACTGAGGATTCTGATCGGCGCATATGGCTTGTTGACAGGTTAGTGACAATCAAAGTCACAGATCATCGTCAGGCACTGACCTAACCGCTTGCGCGAGATAACCACTAGAATAAGCACTTTGGAGGGTATTGCTCGGACGGTCAAGACCTAGTTTAGCAGTGGAGGATCCAGAATTGAATTCTAGAGGTGGGGCGAATCATGCGAGCTCAAGGGCACGAAGCGCCCGAGGGGGAGGGTGGTAGGCTAAAATCCCTTGCCCTGAAAATTCTAGGGGGCGACCGCCCCCGGTGCCCCCTCTGGATCCGCCACTGTTTAGACGTGTTTTTCACGCGTGCACGTCGACTTTGCGGCGATTCGTTTATTAACAGCGATTTTGGCGCCATCGTATCGCTGATTGGCTAGAGCATCCTGTCCAGAGACATGTCTACAGACTCAGATAGGTCTGCTAGTAATATATAATTTTCAGATATCATGGAAAATGAACACAAGCTCATAAAGCTCTCACAGCATCGTCAAATTCACGTTCTTACTCATGTTAAAATACGTTGAGGCCCTCCTGCCTCTGCTGATACTAGGTCTATTACAATCAAAAATCTGTACTAAAAATGAAAAACGTAGGCCTAGGCATACCCCTATAATAGTAACTTACACCTATTACTAGTATTAGACTCAGCAATACCCTCAAGGACCACAATGTAAATAAGTGCGCTAGTCATGCTTTTTGTGTATATATCCTTTGTAGTTATCAAATTTTATGAATTCAGAATTTTATTGTAAAAGTATGCTATGTATTGTATATAATGGATAATTGCCTAAATAAATAAATAAAATAAAAATATATAATAAAAAAATAAAAATAAAAATAAGACGAAGGTGCTACAGCAGTGCGTATATAACAAATCCAACTAATATTCCTATGCTAGGGGCCTATATGGTGAATAAAAAGCTGGTTATTTGCAGGAATGGGCACAGGAATGATAAATACCCCATCGAAGGTGATTAATGGATTATATTTTAATAAGAAACTCTCGCTGGCAACCGGACTTGCGAGCACGTCTGGTGCCGTCGGCGCCCTCGTTGGCCCTCTACTGTGTGTCAAACTCATTGAGCTGTACACCTGGCATGGCGCACTCATCATTCTAGCCGGCATGTATCTACAAACGGTGGCAGCCAGCGCCCTCTTCCGGCCAATACCAAAAGCAGCAAAGGAGGAGCTATGCAAACGTCGCGGCGGCTATCGTTCGCTAATGATGCCGATCACCGATATGATAAAACTCGGAGTTCACTGTTTGAACAACGTCGCAATGGGCTTCAGCGCGTTTATAATGGTGACATTCTGGGTGCTGTACGGCATGTCGCAGGGCCTGAGCTTCACGCGGGCTGCGCAGATGATGAGTGTGATTAGTGTGAGCGGTGCCGTCGGCGCCTTCCTGGTCGCCGCCACGGGCGACAGACCGTGGTTCCCGCGTCACGTCGTCTTCGTGCTTGCCACTCTGGCGACGGCGATCGTCGCCTTCGTGTTTCTGATCGCTCGCAAACTCTGGGTTTTCGCGCTTTGCTGCGTGCTGAGCGGATGCACCGCCGGCATAAGAACAAGCCTGGAGATGACAATTCTTGTAGACCTGTTCGGCATACAGCATCTGCCAATGGTCCAGCCTATCTACTCGCTGTGCTTTGGACTAGGAGCTTTCGCTGGGCCGATAACTGCGGGTAAGTCGATGGAAAGTCCTGACAACGTGCAAATACAGGTTTGATGGTATATCGATATAAGAATTAAATGCGGATACAAATGTGGCAACATTGAAACACTCATTCAAGGCTGGCTTAGAAATAAGGGAGGCAAAACCAAGCATAAGCATTTTCATTTCCTATAAATAAAACTGTGATTGATTTTAAGATTTAATTTAATGTGCCATAAAATCCAACCCCATATATCTATCTATCTATCTATCTATATATATATATATATATATATATATATATATGCGTGTGTGTGTTTATATATAACATACAAACGTGTAATGCTGACTCTAAAATGCCCTTCTCTATATTCCCATCTACTATATCTTGCCTACGACTTCAGGCCTCTAAACTGGGCACTAATCTCACCACACTTTCTTGATGCACAACTTCACGCCTTCTTTAGTCAAAGATAAATCCGTGTAATACCCCGACTTGAAAATGTCCCCTAATAGCGATGTTACCACGCCAGCACCATAATAACGCTTGACCTCGGTGCTTATGTTACTGTCATAGAGATACATAGAGAAACATAGAGTCTACCTATAGTATTTCTATGGCTACTGTACAGGTGCTCTGTTGGACCAAACGGGCAACATGAAGTCTATCGTCATCCTATGTGGAAGCATGGCTGGTGTAAGTACAGCGTTGCTGAGTGGCACACTCTACATCGACCGCAGACAGAGACGGAGGCGTACGCCGAGGGAAGCAGTGGCAGTGAGAACGCCTAGCCACGTAGACACGTAGCCACATGGGGGCGTGGGGTTAGCTAGTGGTAGTGGTAGTGAAACCGTCTACGGGCCCGTCTACCGCAGAGAGTAGGCCTAGTCTAGACCAGTTCTAGACGAATACAGTGGCGAACTCATTAAGGCCCTGTATTCCATTATTTTCGACTGTTTTCCACTGTTTCCCAGTTCTCCACTGTATTCGCAAGGGCGCAGCATGTACATAGATTGCTTATTAAATGTTCGCTATATGATCATATACTTAAGATACAAACACACTCACACACACACACACACACACACACACACACACACACACACACACACACACACACACGACAC